AGGAACCCCCAGGGTGAGAAGGGGTGGCAAGAAGCCACAGAGCGAGAGAGGGGCAGTGAGGAACCTCCAGAACGAGAAGGGGGCGGTGAGTAAACCCGGAGCATGGGGCAGTCAAAAAAGTTGGATTTCAGTCAGCAACAAAAATCTTTGCTCCAGTACCTGAAATGGATGTGTTGCATGCTTCTCTCACTAAATGACAGACAATTGGCAACCCTGTCATGTCAGATGGTATAACAGCAACCCCAAACCCCTATTTTCTCTCTTGACATATTGCAAGTATAGGCTTATACTCAAGATACTCACAGTTAATCTCTAAGCCATTTTGTAGCAACTTCATAATAAGTGCTTGAGAACATTTTCAAAACTCAAGATTTTCCTCATGAACAAGAACATTCATGTATTTCCTCATGAACAAGAACATTTTTCTTATTCAATTTTGATATGCCAGATGTTGCCATTCCTTTCCGTGTGGAGTGGAGCCACAAACACCCTGCAGAAAAAGCTCCTGCTGAAGAGCAGTATAAAGGAAAGGAAAGAAAAGAAGCCAGTGAAGTCTGATAGGCTTAATTTACTTGTTTTATTTATTTGCTAGTGTGACTTTGGACTTTTACTCGATGAACATAGTGATTTGAAGCGAGAGAGGTTTTCAGATATTTTTATTGTTTAAAAGTAGTTTAGTTGTTGGGCTATGAAAATAGTGGCAACAAAATTACTACAAAGTTCTTTTGTTGGTGTGCATAACTAAGAATGCATAATCATCTGTCATGCATGTGGATACATCTTGGCCTAGGTCAGTGCTTCCCTGGCTTATCCAGAGCATGGCCCCATCCGTTGATGTTGTGATGCCATTTGGGGTTGCGGCTCACAGTTTGGGAACCGCTGGTCTAAGTGTTACTTACGGACTTAGATTAAAATTACTCTTATGGCAGTGTAAACTAGAGTTTATTTTTCCCTTTTTATTGAGTTAAGATATTTTCTTATTTTGGATTGATGCAGCACTGTATTCTGACCTCAGATTACTTTGCCTCCATCTAGGAAAGCAAGTAGACGCACTGTTCTTCTCGGAGCTTTTAAAGCATGATAATTTCTTCACACACTGGGAATTTCAAATGAATGGCAATGCAGCTTTTTTCAGGTCCGATGATAAATTGCACTGTAATAAACTAATTGGGAGTTAATGAAGGCATGTATAATTAGGGGTCTGCTTAACTCCCACGGGGGAAAAAAGCAATTTTAAGGACTTTGTTGCAGCACAAATAGCTGATTCTCATGGGCATTTCCCAGTGGTCCTACGTCTCGCCACTGATTGGTGGAGAGGCATTTACTGTATAATGTAATAGCAAATTCTGTGGAAAGTAAGTGATATAATTTATCATATAAATTTAAATATATTTAAAATATAAATATAATTTTAGGTACAGTACAAATTGTATCATAATTTTATTATGTAACGTTCTACAAAAAGTTTAGATATTACACAATACTAATCTTAATAGAAACGTTTTTACATTGCTGACTGGCACCTTCAGTCAATCTATGTCACTAGCAGATGGTAACTCAATCACACGATCCATGGCTGTAGTAACTGTCATGTTGTCATGCTATTTTTTAGATCGGGGTGTCAAGTGTATGCCCAGTGGCTTGGATCCTGCCTGCACAAGTTGATCCTCTGGCTCATGGGCTTGTTACTGGAGCCACTGCATCAGCTTGGCTCTGGAACCCAGAGGGTTAATTATAGAATCATAGAAAATTAGGGTTGGAAGGGACTTCAGGAAGTCTAGTCCAGCCTGCTGCTCAAAGCAGGGCCATCCGCAACTAGATAATCCCAGCCAAAGCTATGTCTAGCCAGGTCTTAAAAACCTCCAAGGATGGAGAGTCCACCACCTCTCTGGGTAGCCTGTTCTAGTGCTTTACTACCCTCCTAGTGAGAGAATTCTTCTTAATATCTAACATAAACTTTCCTGGCTGCAACTTGAAATCGTTGGTCCTTGTTGTGTCATCTGCCACCACTGAGAACAGTCTAGCTCCATCTTCTTTTGCACCCCCTCCATGTAGTTGAAAGCTGCTGTTAAATCCCCTTAGTCTACTCTTCTCCAGACTAAATAAACCCAGTTTCCCCCAGCCTCTCCTCAGAAGTCGTGTCCCAGACCCCTCACCATTTTTGTTGCCCTCTGTTGGACTTTCCCCAATTTGTCCACATCCATTCTGTAGTAGGGGGCCCAAACTGAACATGGTACTCCAGATGTGGCCTCACCAGTGCTGAACAGGGTAAGAGTCACTTCCTTTGACTTGCTGGCAAAGGAACTCCTCCCAATGCAGTTCAGGGTGCAATTAGTCGTCTTGGCAACAGGGGCAGACTGCTGGCTCATATTCAGCTTATTGTTCACTGTAACCCCCAGGTCCTTTTCTGCAGAGCTGCTGCCCAGCCAGTCAGACCCCAACCTGAAGTGATGCATGTGATTATTTGCGCTTGTCCTTATTGAACTTCATGAGATTCCTTTTGGCCCAATCCTCCAATTTGTGTAGGACACTGAAATTCTGGCACTGCTTGCCCCTCACCCCCTTTACCAAGAACCAAACTGGGGTTTGTAGTCACTGTTGATAGGTAGTATCAATGGGAAATGGAGCGGGGGAGATAAATGGCTACAACTGTTAGCCTATATGAGATGCATTTATTTTATTTTTTTCTCACAACGCAAAAGGCATTCCATAAAGTGAGATTATAATCTTTCCTCAAGGTCCACAAAAACCTCTTCAATTCTTTTGTTTTGTACATTGTACCTAGTAAAAGTGTCTTTGATACTCAAGCTGTTTCTGTAGTATACATCATTAATATTCAATTTAAGGTTAAATATACTTGTAAAATGCAAATGAGTTTAACAAGGAAATCAAATACAGTATGCAGCAAAACAAACTCTGTGTTCTAAAATAGTAGATGCCTTAGTGTCGCCCTTTCCTCCAGAAGTTTAGTTGAAATGCACAGTAGTAAGCCTCCTGTGTCTCCTGATGTTTGATGGGGGCGGGGCACATCAAACAATTATTTTTTCACAGTAGTCTTCCAACTATCCTTAGAGTGGCTGCCACGTTGGAATTTTAAAAAACATGTAGTTAGTTACCACACTTTTCTGTTCAAAATAGTGCCATCTATTGCTGTGTGACCAGTTTGATTGTCCTTAAAAAGCAAACACCTGGATAGAGAAACAATTCATATAAAATTATTATAGATGAGCAAAGCCTTGTAGTAAGTGAAGCCTACACTTCACATAGGGAGCTGATTCAGGTGCTACAGTATCATTTATGTCCGTCTTACAGTGCAAAATGTTTTTTCTTTTGGCTCAACTCTGAGTCATTAATTTGTCATCTTTGCATCTTAAGAAATATCTTTAATGATTAATTTATGGTTGTATTTGCTACCCAATAGATGCATACATTGGTACATGTATCACATACATAGATATGTATATAGTATATGTCTCAGTTGGTAATTTTTATGTAAATCTCATTATGTCTGTTCTTCACTCTCTGCATTTACTTGTATCAAGTCTACAGCATTTAAACTTCCAAAATAATTTTTCCCTGGCTGTCCACTTTGAAGTCCTAAAGGGCTAAAGCCCCAACCGCATATAGTTTCCATGTACATGCTCCTTTTCCAAAATTTTTTTTTTTTTTTTTAAATTTAAACATAGCCCAGACCTTTGATTCTGGATTATTATATAATGCTACTTTTGCCCTGTGGGTTAGTCATTTTTGTTACATCTGTGGTCCACAGTAATGTTTCCTGATAGTTTATTGACATGAATTTGGATCTCCAGATTAATTGTAAGTGTTCATATTGCAGATCATTCCAAGAGTGTTGATGAAACTTTAGTACCATACCGCATTGTATATTGCATGCAAAACAGATAATGTACAGAGGACAAATATTTTACAAATGTATTAAAGAACTTTAGATATTTGTTCTTCTTTTTTTTAATTTGTACTTTTCCTTCTGTAAAGGCCAGGTGTAAGTTTCAGGCTGATGGACCTAAATTATGCTTATTGTTTTCCTGTGTGCTACAGCATCTAGCAAATTTCAGTTGTCTTGTCTTGTATTTGATGTGTTTAATACACATCATCAATGAAAACGCAGTATTCTTTCCAGGTGCTAACAAGTACATATTATGGAATGCTTCATGTTGAAAGTCTTGATAATCTCTGGGATGTTTGAGACCATTTAAAAGTCTATATTTACAATCAAATCAGTATGATGTTACAATCCTAGGTATTATTCTAAAATAACTTAACTTGTAGCTTTCTGTGTCTCATTAACTTTTTAAAATTGTAGATGCTGGCATCGCCATCAACATCAGGTCAGCTGTCTCAATTTGGGGCAAGTTTATACGGGCAACAAAGTAAGAATTCAGTTTATTATCAGTATGTTTGATTGTGATATATGAACATGTCACTCTTACGTTGTAGAGAGAAAACATGCACATGGTCTTATTTTCTTCTGATCACATAAAAGACCTTGAATAGGTTCTCTTTCTTTGTGGCTTTTGTATAGGGTATATTTTAGGATGAGTGAAAATTAAAAAAAAAATGTATTTGCCATGTGCTGGTGTTCTACAGGTCCAAAATAAATAATACTGAAATATTAAATACCTTATGAAGAGAGAACAGTTGTGGATTTATGATTTTTTTTTTTAAAGACCACTAAAAACTGGGAGAAAATAAATCTAGGTTTCTGAAGAATGGACATGGGGAATCAGATGATCAATTTGCTGTGAAATGTGGCCTCTGTCCCCAAGAGGCAAATTTTCATATGCTTACCTCTAAAATTTGGTCAACACGAATAATTATTGGCAGTTGTGTTAGTAAAGCTAGAGAAAAGGAATTTGTTTTCCCTCCTGGCCCATTCTTCCTTCTTTTTCTGTTTCTTGCAGGTTTAAATTGGTAGATGCAGAGAAATTAACTACTGATGTGGAAAGGTTTTACATGTATTACTTGCTTTTAGGTAGACATGTCTTGAGACTCTCTAATCAATTTCTGTTAGTAGATATTATCAGGAAAGTATCTTACAGGATATTTTAGTAAGTGACTTTCAGCTGGGTATAACCCCCATCTCCTGTCTTTCTAATACACTAGCTAGATATTTCTTCAGGTAACATTTAAACACTTCCATGAGAAAGTGGTTGTCTTGAAAATTGTTGATTTTAATCACAGTGTTAGATCAACTGGTACTTCCTTCAGTGTTGCACTTTTCTAAATCTGTTTCTCAGTGATCAGGGAATGTGGTTTTAGGGCTTTTTTTGAGCCCAGAAGCTGGCATTTATTTTATTTAGCCTCCACCACTAGCATATGTTGAGTCTATGATATCTACAGTTGTAGATGCTGTTATCACAGGTTTTTATTCATTATGTCCATTGGATCATCTTGATACTGTTTAACATGTTTTTCTTAACCTAGCACTTCAGCTATGTTTTGCTTTAGAAATCAGCTCCAGAACTGACCAAAGTGGAATTGTGACCTAAAACTAGAAGATATTAGCAAGCATTTTGTTTCTTTTGGTGTTCAGAAAGGGGAAAACTACATGCTGTTCCTAAGACTGTTTAACCATTTGAAATGCTATTTGGCAGTACAAAATTGACAATGTAAATATATTTTGTACCTTGGCATTTTCTTTATCAACCATCTAGCTATGTCCCGTGGGAGTACCAGATCCATAGTGCTACAAATCTGCATCATAGAAAACAAATTTCCAGGCACAGAATTAGCCCCTATTTTCTCTTTCTAGTGATCAACCTAAGTCATTTGCCAGCTAAAACGTCTAGTGCATGAGCAATTACTGAATGTAATAATGAAAGAAGAAGGTAAAAAATAGGGTTTTTTCAGAGTGACTGTTCACAATAATTGCTAAACAATTTATCAGATTTGATCTTTAAATTGTTGTTTTAAAAAATTTGGACTGATGATTATAACATGGAACATTTGTTATCCTACAGTAGACTTAAGGTTTCCTTTGCAGATTTTCTTTTACCTTGTAGCTCTGTGTATATACAGGTTATATTCACTTTTATTAATATTACTTTTTAAATTCGCTTTGACATTAACACCCCCAGACTTTCCCAGGGAATGCTTTTAAATTTTTATCTTTGTGATGTAATGTAGTTTTTTTCATACTAAAATGCTTTATTTTCTGCTACATATACCTATACATGTTGAACCACTGTGGTGGTTGCAGTAATACGTAAAGCAGTGTGACGTTTACTGTGATTCTTTTATTATACTGGAGGATGGTTTAAATCCAGTTGTCCTCTTTTTCTTGGAACCTTTCATATGACTTCATTTTGGATACTGAAGTTTTATCTTCAAGAAGCAGAAATCTGCTTTTGGGGTTTTTTGTTTGCTTGTTTGT